CGTGAAATTCGAACAATGGGTTATAACATAAGAAATCTCACCCGGGTTGAAACGGACCAAAACGGTCGAAAAACCATGTGTTATAACCCATAAAATTGTTGTATTTGAACTCCGCCAAATTATTTGTTGTCAGGCCCAAACGCACGTGAAGGGTCAATAATCACGTGTTATAGCTCATGAAATCATCGGTTTTGAATCCGGTATAGATATTTTGAAACGGGGCGTCAAACAGAACAAAATGTTTAGAAGTCGTACGGATAATAGCTTATAAAATAATCGGTTTCAACATTTTTGACACCCTGCCAGAAAAAATGAAATGGTCAAAATTAATGGGTTACAGCTCATGAAATTGTCGGTTTTTAATTTGGCAAAGATTTCTTGTGCTAGGTCGAAGCAGAGCTAAACTGACAAAATGTGACAGAAAGCATGGGTTATAGCACACGAAATTGAGAAATATTAACTCCAACTAATTGTCTACACAGGGTTAAAAAGGGACGTAAATGGGCAAATTTCGTGGGTTATAGCTCACGAAATCGTGAAATTTGACTCCGCCGAGTCATTTGCCGTTAGACGAAACCATCGAAGTTGGGAGAAAATTGTTTTCTATAGCTCGTGAACTCGTGAGTTTGAACAATGGGTTATTATAACCTATGAAATCGCTCCTGGGTAGAAACGAACCTAAACGGTCGGAAAACCATGCGTTTTAACACATGAAATCGCGATATTTGAGCCCCGCATAATTATTTTTCGCCGGGCCCAAACGCACGAGTAGGGTCTATAATCACGTGTTATAGCTCATGAAATCATCGGTTTTGAATTCGGCAAAGATATTTTGACACGGGGTGTCGAACAGACCAAAATGGTCAGAAATCGTACGGACAATAGCTTATAAAATCATCGGTTTTGACATTTCCAAAACCTGATAGGAAAAGAAGAAAATGGTCAATATTCATGGGTTACAAAACAGAAATTGTTAGTTTTGAATTCGGCAAAACTTTCTGGCGTCGGGTCGAAACGGAACGAAAAAACTGACAAAATGTGTGAGAAATCATAGGTTATAGCTCACGAAATCGTGAAATATGCACTCCGCCTATTTATCTGCACGGGCTGAAAAAGGTGCGTAAATGGACAAATTTCATGGGTTGTAGCTCACGAAATCATGAAATTTGACTATGTCGTGCCATTTTTCATCGAAAGAAACCGTAGAAGTTGTGGACAAATCGTTGCCTATAGCTCACGAATTTGTGAAATTCGAGCAATGGGTTATAATCCATGAAATCGCGCCCGGTTCAAAACGGACCGAAACGGTCGTAAAACCATGGGTTATAACCCGTGAAATCACGATATTTGAACTCCGTCTAATTATTTACCGCCTACCCCAAACGTACAAGAAGGGTCAATAATCATGTGTTATAGCTCATGAAATCGTCGGTTTTGAATTCGACAAAGATATTATGACACGGGGCATCGAACAGACCAAAATGGTCAGAAATCGTACGAACTATAGCTCATGAAATCGTCTGTTTTGACATTTATGACACCCGCTGAATAAGAATAAAATGGTCAAAATTCATGGGTTACAACTCATGAAATCGTGAAATTTCACTCAGCCAAGTCATTTGCCGTCGGACGAAACCTTCGAAGTTGGGGACAAATCATTGCCTATAGCTCAAGAACTCGTGAAATTCAAACAATGGGTTATAACAAAAGAAATCTCACCCGGGTTGAAACGGACCAAAACGGTCGAAAAACCATGTGTTATAACCCATGAAATTGATGTATTTGAACTCCGCCAAATTATTTGCTGCCAGGCCCAAACGCACAAGAAAGATCAATAATCACGTGTTATAGCTCATGAAATCATCGGTTTTGAATCCGGTATAGATATTTTGAAACGGGGCATCAACTAGAACAAAATATTTAGAAGTCGTACGTATAATAGCTTATAAAATAATCGGTTTCAACATTTTTGACACCCGGCCAGAAAAAATGAAATGGTCAAAATTCATGGGTTACAGCTCATGAAATTGTCGGTTTTTAATTTGGCAAAGATTTCTTGTGCTAGGTCGAAGCAGACCTAAACTGACAAAATGTGACAGAAATCATGGGTTATAGCTCATGAAATTGAGAAATATTAACTCTAACTTATTGTCTACACCGGGTTGAAAAGGGACGTAAATGGGCAAATTTCGTGGGTTATAGCTCACGAAATCGTGAAATTTGACTCCGCCGAGTCATTTGCCGTTAGACGAAACCATCGAAGTTGGGAGAAAATTGTTTCCTATAGCTCGTGAACTCGTGAGTTTGAACAATGGGTTATTATAACCTATGAAATCGCTCCCGGGTAGAAACGAACCTAAACGGTCGGAAAACCATGCGTTTTAACACATGAAATCGCGATATTTGAGCCCCGCAAAATTATTTTTCGCCGGGCCCAAACGCACGAGTAGGGTCTATAATCACGTGTTATAGCTCATGAAATCATCGGTTTTGAATTCGGCAAAGATATTTTGACACGGGGTGTCGAACAGACCAAAATGGTCAGAAATCGTACGGACGATAGCTTATAAAATCATCGATTTTGACATTTCCAAAACCTGATAGGAAAAGAAGAAAATGGTCAATATTCATGGGTTACAAAACAGAAATTGTTAGTTTTGAATTCGGCAAAACTTTCTGGCGTCGGGTCGAAACGGAACGAAAAAACTGACAAAATGTGTGAGAAATCATAGGTTATAGCTCACGAAATCGCGAAATATGCACTCCGCCTATTTATCTGCACGGGCTGAAAAAGGTGCGTAAATGGACAAATTTCATGGGTTGTAGCTCACGAAATCATGAAATTTGACTATGTCGTGCCATTTTTCGTCGAAAGAAACCGTAGAAGTTGGGGACAAATCGTTGCCTATAGCTCACGAATTTGTGAAATTCGAGCAATGGGGTATAATCCATGAAATCGCGCCCGGTTCAAAACGGACCGAAACGGTTGTAAAACCATGGGTTACCCGTGAAATCACGATATTTGAACTTCGTCTAATTATTTACCGCCTACCCCAAACGTACGAGAAGGGTCAATAATCATGTGTTATAGCTCATGAAATCGTCGGTTTTGAATTCGACAAAGATATTATGACACGGGGTATCGAACAGACCAAAATGGTCAGAAATCGTACGAACTATAGCTCATGAAATCGTCTGTTTTGACATTTATGACACCCGCTGAATAAGAATAAAATGGTCAAAATTCATGGGTTACAGCTCATGAAATCGTGAAATTTCACTCAGCCAAGTCATTTGCCGTCGGACGAAACCTTCGAAGTTGGGGACAAATCATTGCCTATAGCTCACGAACTCGTGAAATTCGAACAATGGGTTATAACAAAAAAATCTCACCCGGGTTGAAACGGACCAAAACGGTCGAAAAAACATGTGTTATAACCCATGAAATTGCTGTATTGGAACTCCGCCAAATTATTTGCTGTCAGGCCCAAACGCACAAGAAGGGTCAATAATCATAACTATTCACAGTTTCATAATATTTGTATATGTCAATGTTTTGTATATATTCATTCATATTTTTAATATTTACATATTTTTTATTTCTTTTGGCGGTCAATATTTTCATATTACTATTGTTATATTATCTCAGTTAGCATCAAATATCATTTATCTTAATATGTTATTATAGTATGGTCAGATTTTTCATTACATTCACATTGTATTTATTTTATCGTAGGTATAATAGTTTCAGTATATATGCGATTAATGTGTATTATTGAAGTGTATTATATTTAGTTAGTTAATTATTTCTTCTATTCAATCATCATCCTTTTATTATATTTTTGATACATTTATTATTACATATTGGTATGTGATATGTGCTTAATGATCGTCTATTAACATCATTCGTATATTTTGTTATGATTTTGTTAGTATTGTTTATATGTTGCTTATATTATCAATTTATCATAAGTGTTATGTTGTATATGTTTTTCATTTGACTATGATATTTATACATTTTCAATTGTTCAAATCATGTCCATTAAGTGTTTCACATTGCTTTAGACTTCACTTATACATCATATAACATATATGATACTCAGAATATTTTATTGTGTTTAATTATACTTTTGCATATCTATAGTGTATGAGTGCGTTTTTCTGTCATATCGTCTATTATTCACTTATGTACTAAATTATTGTATAGTGTTCGTATTTCATGATATACTTTAATAAGTTTATGATTCTAATATTCTACATATGCATTATGTTCTTATCCCTTACATTTTCAGTATATAGTTTTTATCAGTTAGTTTTGTCTTGTTTTAATTCACGGTACAAGATAAAACTAGAAGATAAACCTGGTTTAAACTAGAAGATAAACATGGTTATCTTATAATCAGTCACATTTTAAAATCAATTAAGAAATTAGCTTGATGTCATATTTGAAGAAGAGAATTCAAAAAGTAAATCTTTGTAAGTCACCCAATCTATATAAGTCACCCACATATGGTGAGCTAACATAAATCCTACTAGCCTAATTCCACATTTAACTTGGAGAAAATCTTTATGCATCGGTGTCGAGCACCATTATTCTCTCACTCTATCTTTCTACCGCTATTTGGAATCTGTCATATTCAACGAATAATTCTCTGCTAGCAAATGTAGTCAATGAATCTCAGTTTTCTCTGTTGTGCACCATCATGTAAGGGTGCCAAACGGTTCGAATATATCCGAACCAATCCGCATCCGTATCCGAACAGTGCAGATATAATCAAAATTTAAAACCGGACGGATACGGTTTTGGATACGGTTTCGGATACGGATCCGGTTTTAGATTTTTTTCGAATACAAATTCCAATACGGATATGAGGGTTGCGGATACGAATATCCGCGATTTAATAAAGATTGGGTCCCCAAGTTAAAATTACAAACCAATAACCGCTAACCCAAAACCCAACTACAACTAAAACCCTAGGTTTGTGATGTCCGCCTCCACTCTACCCAATTTTCAGCCTCCAGCCCCGATCTATCAATTTCCAGCCTCCCTCCAGCCCTCTGTTGTGAGGTTCTGAATCCTCGATCGGTTCCTTTGGAGATGATTCTGACCATGATGAGCCTGAAACAAGATTGAAACAGATTTTTTCAAGAGGGAAAGTTGAGGGAGAATTGAAAGAGAGGGAACAGAGAGAAAGTTGTAAACTAAGTTGAGGAGAAGAAATCAATTCATTTCATTAGCTGCCTTTGATTGTGTACAAGTTCTCAATTTATACAAACGGACTCAATGAACTCATGTTTGTGCACGTGCACAGGCAGTACATAGCTAGAACTAACAAAACAGAACAGAACTAACATCAGACACAGTTAATACTGTTCACAACTAACTAACAGCATTTATTACAAACTAAAGCATTGTATAACAGCTCCAGGTCTTGTGCAGCACTTCAAATCTCGTTTCCATGTTCTCCAGCTTCCACCCTCTCATTGCATTTCACAGGTTCAACTTCCGTACCTGACAATTCCCTCCCCTTAAATTGGACCTTGTCCCAAGGTCCACTGTAGGAAACCTTACAGTCTCTAACAAACCTTCAGCTACCTCAAAACTGAACTCCTTGCATTCATCAAGCTCCATGTCGGTGAGCTGAGATGAAGTCCTTGGAGGAAGCACAGCCTCGATCACCTTGTAGATGTTCCAGACACGGAACTGAAGCAACTCTTTCTTCTCTTCCTCCTCATCTTCATCGTCAGAGATTTCTTTCTCAGTGGTCTTTTCAGTCCGGAGAGAAATTGGGTAATTGATGAACTCAGAGTGCTTCTTGATCAGATCTTTGAGACGGCGCTCCTCAAGATATTCCAACTGATCCTCCTTCAGGAAAAGAGTAATCTTGGCTCCCCTTCCAAGGATTTCTCCAGAGTCTCTGGTAACTGTGAAAGACCCTCCAGCTTGAGATTTCCAAATATACCGCTCATCATCATTGTGCTTAGTGGTCAGAACCACTCTTTCAGCCACAAGAGATGCGGAGTAAAACCCCACACCAAACTGACCAATCATGCTAGCATCAGCAGCTTCCATTGCAGCAATCAAGGACTTCTTTTTCGGGATCCTTGGGATGTCAATCTTGATATCAGTCAGGGTTAGCCTCTTGAAATTCATCTGACCACGTACCATGTTTGGGGCATCGACCAGAGATCTGTTCTGATCGAGGACATTAACGATTACGACGAGCCTGCCATAATCCTTTCCGTAGTTAACAAGCACCACTCTTCCAATCTCCACGTAGCGCTTGAACGGCATGGCTGCTGCCGCAATCTTGAACGGCATGGCTGCTGGTGCAATCTTGAAAATCTGACCACCAACTTTTTCCTCGAGCTCGACCCTCGAGATCCCCTCAGGAGGCACTGCTGAAAAAACCTGAGCCTCCAGCGATCCGTTCAAAGCATACAACGACGTCTTCTTAGTCTCCTTCTTGCTTGAGATTGGCCATGGTAGGTTCTTGAGCTTTGGCTTTCTCTTGTTTGAGGATGGCCATGGCGGTTTCTTGAGTTTTGACTTCCGGTGGAGACGAGAAGTTTGCGGCTGCTTCGTCTTCTTCTTGGAAATCTTGTCTGCTCATATATCAACAATGAAGACAAGGCTATTATTGTCCTCAATCTTCTTCATAGCAGACTCAGTAGTTAAATGGTACTTGAGAATTTGATAATGGCCAAGCTTCTTCCTCAGCGGTGCGCTAATTCTGGGGTACTTGGGTTTCCTGTCTTTCTTCAACGTCTTGGGGCGGTGAAGTGTCACAGATGTGCGGATCTTCTTTGTTTTCTTCTTTATGCTTGAAGCTCCAGCCTTCACAGCTTTGGAAACTTTTACAGTCTGTGCCTTGGTGTCAGTTGTTTTGTTGGTAGCAAAACTGTGAACTGGCTGGAATTCACCATTCATTTGATTTTGTATATCCACTTCTTGGCCTTCACCATTGAGATTGGAGTCTTCACCACTGGAGTTGAACAGGGACTGATCAGAGACCAAGGTACTCTTAGCAGTGATCAAGATGCTCTTCTCAGGATTTGAGCTCATGGATCTCAAGAACATGGAGTTCTGAGATAACTGAAATTCTCCATTGTAATCAGTATCTCTTCTATTTTGAGAAATGGGGTCATTATTGTAACCCTTCTTGCTTGATTCTTTAACTCCTGAGCTTGATATTTCCATGTCCTCCCTTGATCCGGAGCTCCGTACCAGATCTCCTTCCCCAACCCTCAGCCGACCAACACTCAAGACTTCTTGAGACCCAAAACCCATTTCGGATTTCAACATGATATCCTCAAACTCAACACCAATCCCCACTTCCTTCATTGAAAACTCAACAGAATCGGAAACTGAGTTAATTACCTCATTCCTCTCTTGAAGATTCTTCTTTCTTGGAGAGGAGGGCACAATGGCTTCTGAAGATGTAGGGACTGTTGGTGCCATGAAATTCTTGGACACCTTTGAAAAAGAAATTGCAGGGACTGCAGAGGATCTTGACTTCACATTCTCATTCCTGAGGCTGTTGCTGATCTCTGGAGTTCTGGGATTAGAAAATTGTATGGCTAATTGACAACAGCCATCATAAATGTTGCGCCCTTGTAGAGAATTCATCGCTTCCACCGCATTTTGCTGTGATTGAAACTGTATAAGAGCTTGAAAGCTAGCTGACTTCTGAAGGATGACGATCTTCTCTACAAATCCATATGGAGAAAACACTCGATGCAACACTTCCTCCGTTATAGGATAGAGCATTGTGTGAATGGTGACGAGGAGGATTCGATTTGGTGGAGAATCCTGTTCTGCACGTCTGAGAGGATTCTTGGAGTTCCTGAGTTCTTGAAGAAGCTTTGCATTCGCTTCTAGTTGAGAAAACATTGTCGCCCAATGTTGATTGAATAAGCTTCGCTCTGATACCAATTGTGAGGTTCTGAATCCTCGATCGGTTCCTTTGGAGATGATTCTGACCATGATGAGCCTGAAACGAGATTGAAACAGATTTTTTCAAGAGGGAAAGTTGAGGGAGAATTGAAAGAGAGGGAACAGAGAGAAAGTTGTAAACTAAGTTGAGGAGAAGAAATCAATTCATTTCATTAGCTGCCTTTGATTGTGTACAAGTTCTCAATTTATACAAACGGACTCAATGAACTCATGTTTGTGCACGTGCACAGGCAGTACATAGCTAGAACTAACAAAACAGAACAGAACTAACATCAGACATAGTTAATACTGTTCACAACTAACTAACAGCATTTATTACAAACTAAAGCATTGTATAACAGCTCCAGGTCTTGTGCAGCACTTCAAATCTCGTTTCCATGTTCTCCAGCTTCCACCCTCTCATTGCATTTCACAGGTTCAACTTCCGTACCTGGCATCTGTCCAGGCGTCGTCTCCGTCCAGGCGTCCAGGCGTCCAGGCGTCGTCTTCGTCCAGGCGTCAGATCCTCGTCTCGTCCAGGCATCAGATCCTCGTCTTCGTCCAAGCGTCCATGCATCGTCTTCGTCCAGGCGTCGTCGATTCGCCGTCAGATCCTTCGATTCAAGTGTCCAGCCGCCGTCGTCTTCGTCTAGGCGTCGTCGATTATTGAGCCCTCTCTTATGGCTCTAGCTAGGAAGTACAACCAGGATAAGATGATCTGCAGAAAGTAAGTTCTTTTTATCTCTGTTGAATTATTTGTGAAAATAGTTTTGATAAGTTTTATTATTTGGGACTTGTTTAACGAATGAAGATTTGTTCTATGTGTTAGCATGTGGATTTAGTTTTGGAAACTATAGTCTTTTAGCTGAAAAGCGTGCCTAAGAAATTGTTGTAGATCCAAGATTAATTTTACTAGTGCAGCATTATTGTTAGTTTAATATCAGCCTGACAACTGAATCTCTTCTCAATTAACAGCATATTTATCTTACCAAATTACCTTTGTGTGCTATTCTGATTTGTAAAAATTTCTTTGGTTTGGGTTGTTGGCCACCTTACATTGAATCATATATCTGCCATTGTTTTCTCAAAAATGAATTTCTTCTGCTTGCAAATTTGTATTTCAGTACTCAAGCATGGTCCTTAAGATCGCCTCCTTATTTTGTGGAAGCGTTTTGAGTCATAACTATGCAACAGTAATACCAAGGTTTCAGAGAGTATTTCTTTGATACCATCTTGTTTTCCACATTCACTAGGGTCTTAATTGTTTGGATTGATTTTCCCCATGTTAATTTTTAAGACTAATATCAGCTTGCTGATATTAGTTTGTGAAAAGCATCGTGAGATTCTAGTTCCAACTTTGTATAATCACTCTTTACCTGGAAGCTGAGGACACATTTTTTTTATACTAACTACTAAGTCCCTTGAACCTTTTGATCAAGATCCGATTCTTCAATTACTGTTTTTTGATGCAAAGGATATCTGCAAGCAGGTTGTGCTACTGAAGATTTTGGATGAAGATTATATGTCTAATAGATTTGTGCTCAATTTTAGTTTTCAATTGATGGTTTATGAAGATTATATGTCTAATAGATTTATGTCGAATATCCGTTTATATCCGTGATCATATCCGATCCGATTCTCAAATATCTGAACCGTATCTGTTTTCGATAAGTGCGAATATGGTTAATGTTTTTTCTTACCAAAGGTGATCCGTATCCGTTTATAAAAAGCAGATATGGATATGGTAAGTGTCATATCCGAACCATATCCGCTCCGATAACACCCCTACAATTTCCACCCAACGGCGGAAACTGGCAAAGATTAATTGAATCGAAAGAGCTTACCGCTGACGACAAAACTCGGAAAGCTGTGAAGAGCTTTTTTTGGTTTGTATATATACCCCTTACATGTTTCATATTTGCATAATTGTCTTTTATATCTTGATATTTACAAATTTGCCCCTCAAGTCTCACACATTTGAACTTTTCTACCTAGGGGTGTTATCGGAGCGGATACGGCTCGGATATCTTACTTATCATATCTATATCCGTTTTTATAAACGGATACGAATATTGATTATTATTGGTAAGAAAAAACCTTAACAATATCCGCACTTATTGGAAACGGATACAGATCAGATATTTAAGAATTGGATCGGATATGATCACGGATATAAATGGATATTCACATATAATTAGAATTACTAAACATTTCACAAGACAACCATGACACAACAAGAAAATCACCCTTAATAACTAACCCCCAAAAACCATTGCAAGAGCAAACCCCATCGTGAAAATTATCCTTACTGCCCATGACACAACAAGAACATCATCTCTGACGACAATTTCCCTCCCATAAACCTTAGAAATTAAATTCATGGCTTCATGACAATCCCCACATGATTTCGATTCAATTAAATTAAAAAAGCTTAATCAAAAATCTTATACACATGATATAACATATTGACAATAAAATAAAGTGGGGTTTTGAATCGACCTAATGGAGAAACTGCTCCTTTCCTCCAACTGGTGTATGAGGTGAAATTGCTCCTTTCCAAATGGCGTTCGTCCAGCCGTTCGTCGTTCGTGTTCAATTGATCGACGGCGAAGACGAACGACGAACGGCGACGACGAAGAAGTATGTGTGTGTATATATATCTCACGGTTTTGTTCTGTATTTTGTGTTTTTATTTTTTCTTTTATATCTTTTATTCAACTTAATTGATTAGATTTTAATCCTTACATGGTGTTTTTAATTTGGGCCAATTATTCTCCTAGATGCTCTTCTAATTAATTTAAATTGAAATTAATATTTGTTTGTTCTTTTATCATATTCATGCAGGTAACAATGTCCGTCTTTAAAGTATCATCAAATTGAAAAGTGCAAGGCATAAATTAGGTTTTATTATTTCTTTAATTTTAAGCATTTTAGGGATCTATATTTTCTATAAATTGAATGTAAATGTCTCCTAGAAAATATGAGTCTGAATATGCAAAACGTATGAAAAAAAGAAAAACAGAAGAATTTATTCAATCTCAAAAAGGAGCACTTGATAGGTTTGTTACTAATACTAAAATCAAAACTTAGAAAAACCAAATGAAAATTTAAATGAAAAAACAATTGAATTATCACTAGAAGATGATACTTTATTAGGACAAAAAGAAATCTGTCAAGAACTTTCTAATAATCATAAATCTAATTCACCAAATATTAATATTAGAGAAGAAGATAATAATAATTTAGAAGAAGATGAATTAGTTGATCAAGAAGATAAATTTTTAATGATATTGATAAAACTATTGTTAAAAATATATATGATATAGCACAATGAGAAAACATAAAAACAAATTTAATAGATTTATTAGTTGTAA